TGCTCAGAAATACAGTTCTTGATCCCTGGAAGTCACTGTTGTTTCTGGGTGATCGTCCGTTCTTTGAGAGGTTTATGGCTCTGGCTCTGTAATGCCCATGCCTGTGGGGAGATGTGTGTGTCTGCTTGGACACCTCACCCCAAACCCACACACTTGCTTGCATATGCAAGCACTTAAAGATGCATTCCAATTTTAAATCTGTGTAACTGCAGTAATCATTTTGGTTTCTTCCTAGTAAAGTTAATTACATGTTGAGTTTCAAAGAATGTACTTTGAAGACTTCTCAATTGAAAAACCTTCACCTGCACTTCCGTTTAATTTCTGACTCTGCTTTATTTTCTTAATCCATTTTGTCTGCCCTGGAAGAACATTCATACTTTCATTCAAATACTAACGGTTCTCAGTAGTAACAGTTACCTCAAATTAAACTGTAGGATTGAAAGTATCTACAAACCTTGACGATTTAGTGCTGTTCTCATGCCCCAATCTGATGAGATCCTAACTGTTGTCCTGGCATAATCCAAAACATCACTCTTTAGTAGACAGATTTATTCCTTTTATCTGTCACTTTTTCTAGAGTGGAATTTTTGTTTCATTGCCTACTTCAGTGTAACCTTCAGCATGTTAACCTTGCAGAAGTTTGATTGCTCCATCAATAAAATTTAGGGATGCTAATAGTAAATGTTTCAGGATTGTGATGCAAGATGAAAGGAGATAACAACTATCAAACAAGTATAAATACCTAGGATAATACCTAACACACAATAAGTGCTTGATAATTAATATATAACTATAGCACCTATAGATGAATAGCTATCTTTTTCCTTCAACTTTTTGTTTATTTTTGTTGTTTTGTTTTTTACCAGGGATCGAACTCATGACCTCACACTTTCCAAGCAGACACTTACAATTCTGAGCTAAACCGCCAGCCCCTCTTTCCTTCATCATTAAGTATACTGTTCACTGCATTAGATGCTGGACATAAAGAAATAAAAAATAGTTTTTTGTTCCCAAAGACCCTGAGGTAAAATGAGAAAAGCAAGCCAGTTGTTACAGAATTGCATTAGTGGTATTAGTAAAGTTACATTTAGGGTGCCCCAGGAGCACATACATACATGTTTAACTCAAATTGGAATTGTTTCTTTCCTGGAGAAGGTATCATCACTTGTTTACCTTCTTAGTCTTAAAGGCCACTTGTTGGTGCCAGTTCCCAAATTAAATGTATTCTAAATGTTAGAATTATGTATTTTCGAGATTGTTTTACTTATGTGTCCTTTACAGTTCATAAACGTAGCATATCCCAGAACTGAACTCATGATTTTGGAAAGTTATTGCTTAAAACTGTTTCTTCCTTTTGTTTTCATGCTACCTAGCTGTCATGTCAGGTTCTCATCACCGTACACCACTGTCCTAAAATGTTTGTATAACCGCTAAAGAAGTTTTCTTTAAAACAAAATCTGAGGTGTTTGCAGCGCTTAAAATTCTATAGTATTTGTTATCATCTAAGTCCTACCTTTCCTGTCAAGACCCTGTTCTCTTGTTCTACATTCTGGCCACATCAGTAAGCTCTTTTTCTCACGTGTGTGGACATACCCATTTCACTGTTCTATTCTGCCCTTTCCTTTGTACCTATTATAACAGGCTCCCATTATATCTTAGCAGCTACCTTTCAACTACTTCTTATTTTTTAAGACTTTGTTCTGTAATTCTGGAAAGCTTTCTAGAGCTTGTGTCCCTAATTTTCCTTACAGAATTGTGTCCTTTCTTTGTACTTTATTTACTTGATATTCCATTGTCCTCATTATTACTGTGTTTACTGTGTTTTCATTGTCACTGTGCATGTCCCCCAAGATTTTGAACTCCTTGGTGTCAGTGGTGGCCTTGTACCTCCAGAAGTGCAAGTTGAGGATTATGATTAAAGTCCTGAGTATATAATTAATGGATGGGTGGGTAATTGATATATAAAATATTAGTTTAGGCAAAGAGAGGTGATGACCATCTGCTGGGGGAAAGGCCTGTCCAGATGTGTGAGTGCAGAAAGAGTAAAAGTATGTAGCTTAGAGATTTAGAATAAACAAGCAAAGAGAACGAGGTTGAGATATTAGATAATAAGCCTTGACTGATACAGCTTGTAACAAAAATCTTTTATGCCTCGCTAAGAATTTTTGGCTTTATCTTGAAGGCACTGGAGAGCCATTAAAGAACTTTAAACTGAGGATTGACAGGTAGATTTAAGATGCATATCTTTTTGCATTTTAACATCTGATGATGTATCTTATAACTGATAGTCTTACAATTCTCTTAAGAAGCACTTGGTCCTTTCTAGTGTATTTCAAATAATGGTGTGTTACAATTGATCTCATTTTAATCTTGAAGGCAGATATAACGTGTTTTACTGTGATGATTCTGGCACAGTATAAAGAATGCCTTTTAGAACAGTGTAAAACTACAAGCAGAATAGTAATAAGCTGAACATACTCCAAAAGAGAAATTTGAGACGATGGGAAAGAATTCAGTTAGTCATTCTGATACTAAGTGCTTTCAATGTGGCAGCTCCAGTGCTAACAAAGCATGAAGGGTCCATACAGTAATCACAAACAGGCAGGGTATCCAGGTAGAATTACAGGTAATTGTAAGTGGTGATTGTGAAGCAGATTGTACAGGAAATAAAAGAGGCGGTGAGAGTAAACTAAACCTTCTTTGAGCCAAAACTTTAATAAGAATGAACATTCCATGTGAAGAACATTCCTAGTAAAAGAGCACATACAAAAACTTGGGTCTAAGAAGGCAAGGAAGAATCTTACTTGAGAGTTATTACAGTCTTCTAACAAAATCAAGACACTCACCTTGACTATTGCCACGTGCCATATAAGTCAAAATGGATTGCACATTTCAACCTAAGAGGAAAATCTATAAAACTTACAGAAGAAAATTTAAGAGACATCTTAGTGACCTAGAGTTGGACCTGTAGGAGACGGGATGGTGCAGTACTGGGGTTTGGTGCATAGGGGTAGACAGTTGCTTTCTCATTGAGCTGCATCTCCAGCCCCAGAGATTGTGTGTGTGTGTGTGTGTGTGTGTGTGTGTGTGTGTGTGTGTGTTTCTATTATTATTGTTGTTGTTGGGTTTTTTGTTTGTTTGCTTGCTTGCTTGTTTTTTGAGACAGAGTCTTGCTATGTCTCAGGCTTAGGCTGGCCTTGAGTTCACTTTGTAGTCCAGGATGGCCTTGAACTTAGAGCGATTCTCTTCCCTCAGCCTCCCAAGAACTGGGATTATAGGCATGCACCACCATACCTGGCTGAATTTCTTAAATAGCACATAAACTAGCACAAAAGTTAAAAGATACATATCATAACAATATTTGTGCTTCAGTACTTTATGTGTTTTGAAACTTTCTCCACATTTTAATTTCATTATTTCACAAGTAACTATAATTATGAGTTTAACTTAGGCTAAAGATTTGTCATGGTCAGCATACTTGATTTTCATTTGTACTGTTTCTTTTTTCTTTCTCCCTCCTTTCTCTTCCTCCCCTCCCTCCCTCCCTTCCCTTCTCTTCCCTTCTTCTCCCCCCCCCCCCTCTTTCCTTCCTGTCCTCCTATCTGTCTTTTTTCCTTAGGATTGCCCCCAGGCCTTGCCTGTGCCAGCCGAACACTCTTTTGCGGAACTCTAGATGGAGTCCCCTAGACCATCCATCACACATAGTTTTTGACACCTGCCTTATCACTCCATCAACACTTTTATGTTTCCTTTTTAAAAATTTGTTTGTAATTTTTCAATCATTTTGTATAATAAAGATCATTCAAATAATAATTGCACAACCATTTCTGTGGGTTATAAAAATTGTTATTCCAAGTAATAAACTACATAAGCTTCATAATTGGCTCCGTAGTTGGAAATTTTCTGTTGAATAATAAAAAGGAAGTCATTCTATATGCATATACCTTGAAATGGCTAGTCAAGAAGTATACTGTCTTTTTAGACTAATTATCTGGGTTTTGACTAGAGAGCTTGCTAAGACCAGTGAAAACTGCCAGACATGTGCTGCCGTTTAATCGTATGTCAGAGAATGATAATCGCACAAGATAACCTTGAATTTTTTTCTTTGCATATGCACTTCAGTGGCATTAAATACATTGACATTGTTCTGCAGTAACCACTATACTCCCTTCTCTGGGATAGAAACTGTACTCCTTAATAATACAAACTAGGCATAGTAGCACAGGCGTATAATCCCAGCTACCTAGGAGACTGAGGCAGGAGGATCACAACGAGTTTTTTGTTTGTTTTTCTTTTTGAAGATCACAAATTTGAGGCCAGCCTGGTAATTTAGCAAGGCTCTGTCTCAGAAAAACTAGTTCAAAAAAAATTCCCATTCTTTCCTCCCCCACCCCAACAACCAGTGTTTTATTTTCTATTTTTATTACTTTAGTACTCATTAAAGTGGAATCATGCAGTATTTTTCTTTTGTGACTGTCTTATTTTACTTAGCATATGTCATTAAGGTTCATCCGTATTGTAAAAAGCATTTTTATGTACATACTATACTTGTCTATACCTTCATCCATCAGTGGGCATTTGGGTTGTTCCTACCTTTTAGCCATCATGAGTAATGCTGTTATGAACATTGTTATACAAATAATCCATTTAAGACTCTGCTTGCAGATCTTTTAGAAATATATCCAGGAGTATAACTGCTAGGTCATGTAATAATTCTGTATTTAAATTTTTGAAAAGACATTATAATGTTTCCCACAGCAGCTGCACTTACAAGCAGTGTACAGAGTTCCAGTTTTTCCACATCTTTGCCAATATTCCCCTACCTGTTTTTGTTTATAATAGCAATCATAATGTTTTGGTTTTCACGGAGTTGTTTAAGTGAATTTTGGGGGCAACTTTCTGACTAGTTTTAAACACTGATGGATTTAATTTTTAGACCCCTAATTTGTGAGGAGTATTTTGAAGTTTGAGAAAAAAATTTTTTTCTTCACTATTTTTAGGACAGCCAAGCCTTCGAGAAGCTATTTCTATGTCCTGTATCACCAATGGAAGTGGTGCAAACAGAAAACCAGCTCACACCAGTTCAGTCTCAATTGCAAGAAAGGAAACTCTATCGTCTGCTGCTAAAAGGTACCTACTTGTAAGGAGGAAAAATACTAACATTCAAAATTGTCTGAGCCTGATAAATCAGTCTGGTTTTTTGGGAAAAAACAATGAAAAAAATGAAATGTATTATTAATGAGTACAGTTTCTATCCTAGAGAGTCAAATGAACATGTCCTTTAAATGTTTTGTGAGTGAGATCTATAGCCTGTGCAGTTTATATCATACTTTTTGAATTGTAGTGTAGAAGCTTTTGGTTTTTACTAAAGAAAGAACAATTTTTCATCTTTTGATTTTTGTTTTTGTCTCTGTTTCGCAAGAATTTATTGTTAACTGTCATTAATGAAATTTATCTGTGAATTATCCTTATCAAATAATGTTTGATATAGCATGTTTAAAGGAAAAATAAAATGTTTGGTGTAGCTCTGCATTTCTGGGAGGCTGAACGCTAAACTTCTTCAACCATAAGACTGTATAAAGTTAAGGCCTAATGCAGGATATTATTCAGTGTTGATGTGTTGTGTGTCTGTGTCTGCATGTTAAGAGGATGGTGGGCAGGAATCTGTGAAATTATTGCAATGTAAGTTTCAATGGAGTACAGATTTGGATTGTATATGTAGTATTCTGTTCATCAGTTAAGTGATGGGGATTAGTTTCCAGTAAAACTGGTTGTAGAACTTTGCCCTTTTTTGAAAGTCCTAGCAAATTATCTCAAGAGACCATAAAATAACAACTTCATCATCTTAAATAGTTTTCTTCTCACAATGCATGAATTCTCTTAAGAGAATAATGTGTAACAATGTACTGAAAATGCCTTCCTCAATAAACTAATGCCAGTGACTGAATTTTTCATAGTGTGAAATACATATGTAATCAAACAGATGACTACCAGAATAGTAAAGAAATACATTCTTTGGACTTTTAAAAACTTCCTTCTAGAATTTAATTTTTTAAATCATTGTTACAGAATCTAGACTTTCCCCTTCAAAAAATGGTAAAAGTTTCTACCTGTGCTCCCTTTTGGTAAAAAGGAACAAATTATAAGTTAGACAAATTCAAAATAGAAAAATTTTAATCCTGTCTTTAACAAATTTCTGTTTTATATATAGCCAGTAGCAGTTTAGATTCAGCCCATTTTCTTAGCTGTTGTGCTATTACTGTACAGTGAGCATTACTATGCACAAGTTCATAGATCTAAGAGCAGCTGAGTTATTGTATGGTGCAGGGGCTCTGTATTTTCCTTTTCAGGAACCTAGAAGAAAAATTCTTTTAAGTTGTCCTGTTAAACTAGCGGTCTGTGCATTCAGGATGGTTTGAAGACTGACAAGAAAGAAGTAACTTCCTAGCCGGGCGTGGTGGCTCATGCCTGTAATCCCAGCACTCGGGAGGCTGAGGCAGGAGGATCCTTGCATGTTCAAGACCTGCCTGAGCTACAAAGTGAGCTCAAGGCCAGCCTGAACTGCATAGCAAGATTCTGAAACACACACACACACACACACACACACACACACACACACACGCACACGTAACTTCCACCTCTGTTTCAGTTTTGTTCTAAGTTTCAAAGTTCCTCTAATATTTGTGAAGTAAAATTTTCTTAGCACATACTGAAAAAAATTTAACATGAAGTTGATAATCAGTGACCAGTGTGAAGTCAGAAGGTATTAGAACTGAATCAGATAAAAAAATATAACTGCTAAAATAGAATTTAACTAGTATATGATAGTTAAATTGTGTACTATGTGTATTTATTTAAATGTTTTTGTTATATATGTCCTCGATTGTTCACCTTATGATAAAATTACAAAATGTGCTTTAAGAATTATAGGCAGTTGGTAGTTTTCTGGCTTTTCAATACTGAAATAGAAGTCTTGATTCCATCTACTTAATAATATTGTACTCTGTTTTTTGTACAATTACAAATGGAAGGTAGTTCCTTATGAATCAAAGTGTGTAGACCTGGGCATGGTGGCACACACTTTGAAATTCCAGCACTCTGGAGGCTAAGACGGGATCTCCATTAAGTTTGAGTCCAATCTGAGCTACATACAAGACCCTGTCTCAAAAAAAGTCAAAGTGTAAAGCTTCAAATATCTTAAATATAATTAAAGACCAAGCCTCCCACCCGTTTTCAAAATATGAATCTTAGATCAAATCCCTTGTTGACATAAAATATGCCCATATATTTTCATAGTTTTTTGTTTCATTTTTAAGGGAAGAATAGGAAATTTAAAACCTGGCAAAATAAACAGTAATCAAAACCTATTTCTTTTTTTCTTTCTTTCTTTCTTTCTTTTTTTTTTTTTGGTACCAGGGATCGCACTCACGACCTAGCACTTGCCAGGCAGGCACTCATGCTGCTGAGCTAAATCCCTAAAACCTATTTATTTTTCTATGATTTAAAAAAAATTGTCTCACTTTAATTTAATAATCATTTAAATATTTGTTATGTTTAGTATTTCTAGAACCTTCAGTTTAGTTTTCCTAGAACTTTAGAACTTGTGATTCTTATTCCTATGTATATTTTGTCAGTTTTCTTTGCATTTGTTTAATTTACATAATTAAATAACTAACATTAACAGGTTTTGTAAAAACATAAACTCTGGGTAAAATTAAATCTCACTTGATGAGGCTGAGGTTGTAGCTCAGTGGTACGGTGTTTGCCTAGCATGTGGAAGGCCTTTAGTTAGATCCCCAGCAGTGTCAAAAGGGGGGTAAACTGGATGGGAGCAGAAATATACAGAGGAATTAGGGAATAATCTATCAAACACTAAGCATTAGTGACCTTGGTCGTCCAGTCAGTTAGCTTCCACAGGTTATGAAAGGTGTCACTGGTCCTCTAATTTGGGTAATTTGAGGTCAGTTAAGAGAGCTTCTAGTCTCCAAAATTTTCTGAGATAGCAAAATTCATTAGAGGTAATTTTAGTCTTCATTGAAGATACTAATAGCTTCTAGAATTTTCAAAGAAATATTTTTTCTTATTGGATAAAAGCAGTAAAAACCATATTAGCTGTATGATTTAGGGGTTTGAATTATATAATAATCACTTTCTATCATTTGATTTTTTTCATTTGTTTAAATATGTGTTGTTCCATGTTATACTTTATTTTACAGTGGTACAGAAAAAAAGAAAGAAAAACCACAAGGACAGAGAGAAAAAAAAGAGGAATCTCATTCTAATGATCACAGTCCACAAACTCGAGCATCACCTTCTCCCCAGCCCTCTTCACAACCTCTCCAAATACACAGACAAACTCCAGAAAGCAAGAATTCTGCTCCCACTAAAAGGTTTTAATTGTCCCGCAGTACAGAGCTAGGGAATGGTTGTAAAGATACCTAAATTCTGTGATTTAGGAAAAAGTTGGCTATCCATGGATTCCAAGAGAGAAGCCTGCTGGCTTTTCTTTCTTTGCTGCTGTAATCTATATTTTAGCACATTGTGGAATGAAGATTTATGATAAAAAAAAAATTCTTAGTTAAAACTGAAAAAAAAAAAAAAAAACGGGTTTGGTGGTGTGCACCTGTAATCCTGGCACTTGGGAGGCTGAGACAGGAGGATCACTGTGAGTTAAGGCTGGCTGGAACTGCGTAGTGAAACCCTGTCTCAGAAAGACACCCCCAAAAAATAAATTAAAAAGATTAAGTTGTAAACAATCTGGTGAAAGGCACAAATAGCCTATTTTAAAATGAAAACAGTGTTTTCATAAAAGTATACAATACTTTTTAATTTATATGTGGTTATGTATAGCCATGGATAGAAAATGTCCATATGTACGTATCCTCACCACATTTTGGCATCATTACAACCTTCAACTTGCAAGGGCCCTTCTCAATAAATAGCTCTTTGTTGTGGCTGCATCTCAGTTTCAGTTTGGGGTTTTGGGAGGATAAATTACTGCTTGATTAGAGAAGTGGATCCATTTTCACCTGGTCTTTTCTATGCTGAGGCTTGCTTGAGGGCTTCTGTGTCCGTAATAATATTTTTAAGTTATAAGAGTGGAAAAAGAGAAAAACATTCTAACAAGTGTGTGTGCGCCTAAATTGAGGATCTAAACCTGCATGCTGGGAGTTCACTGCTACAGCTACTTTGGAATCAAATATTGAGACCAACTTAATTAAATTTGCCTGTTTTAGAAACGCTATTCAAGTTTTTTCCTGAGATACATATTTTATCATTATACTTCTGCTTAGAAATCTTAGGAAATTATTAAACCATTCCAAGAACAAGCTAGGATTTTAATAAAATAAATGGCAACCATTCCTAAAAGAGTCATAATACATTTTTATTTGACCAGCTTAATATTTCGTGTCAAATCTATAATGGAAATAGGGAAAACCAGAATACCCTTCACTCGATTGATACACGTTTACCATTTACAAAATGCTTTGTCTGTGTGTCCTGCACAGATTTTATGCTAAGTGGTTTTAAATTCTTCTGCCTGGTCTCTTGTGGAATTTTTCTTGAATATAAATTATTAGTGTTACACAGCTTTGGAGTGTGTGAGGTTAAAGGAGGCTTTTTTATAATCAAGCTTTGGTGTGTGTGAGGTTAAAGGTGGCTTTTTTATAATCAATCTCTTTAAGGTTCTGATTTGACTTGGTATCTTTGTCCGAGGATCTTTTTTTCAGCTTCTTGAGGTCTCCTGGAAATGTGCTCTCCCTTCTAAATTGCTCTTTGGATATACTATTGCAAGAAGTGTTAACGACTGGATGAGTTTTAGAGTAGTGAACAATGCAGCCATAAAGTCATTTATAAATCAAAAACTTTGTGTTACAAGTATAGGGACTCAGTACTACAGGTTTTTGTGTTAGGAGTCTTATTCTAGACCTTGGGTAAAATTGTCTCTAAAGATACAAACAAGAGTTTCACTTTTAGTCTCACTTGTACCCATATAATTTAATTACATTAGGACATAATTACATTAAAAATGAAAATTGCAGCCTTGGAATTTAATGATTATGAAAAACTTCTGGTTTTTGGTAACTGCAAGTTAGGAGAGTTGCCAGGAGTGATGGTATCTTCCTGTAATCCCAGCACTCTGGGAGGTTGAGGACAGGAGGACCACAAATTCAAACGCAGCCTGGACAATGTAGTAAGACCCTGTCTGAAAATACAAAAGGGCAGCAAATGCAACTCATGCGAAGCCCCTGGCTTCAGTCTCCGGTACTGGCAGAAGAGAGAGAAGTATTTTGAGATATAAGCAAATAATTTTTTTTCTGATAACAGCAAAAAAAAAAAGATAATAGATTTTCTTTTTATCAAATAGTATTTGTTCTAGTGCTTTTCAGAATAATACTGAAAATTATAAAACACAGTTGGGGTCAACCCATTCAGGACCCCTCCTGTCTCTCAGAAACTACTTGTATTCCATATTCGTTTTCTTCAATAAATTGTCTTACTCTTAAAAAAAGAAAATCTGGACTTGGTAATGCCTTGTTTAACTCCATTACTCATCCAGGCAAAGTCTTTCAACTAATCCTTTCCTTTCTTTTTCTGGATTAGCTTTAAGAAAGTGTTAATTGCTGCTTTTGTGTTCTGTTTAAACTTAACATGTCACTGCTACTCAGAATTTTCCTTTAAGAAATGATTATGTTTCTCCTAGCATAAAACGACTACCAACTGCTGAAAAGTTACATAATTCGTGGGAAAATTCAGATGATAGTCGTAATAAATTATTGAAAACACCTTCAACATCAAAATTATTATCAAAAGTTACAAAAAATACAGACAAGTAAGTAACACCTTATTACACCTGAAAATTAATAGCTCTCATAGTTATATGTATAATTGTATGTCTGCTTTGAATTTTAAAATCTGTATTATCGTAATTTTTTTCTTCTAAAGTCCTCTCAGAAAAACTGCGTCTTCCTGTTAATGTTTCCCAAGACAAATTGTAAATCTCAATAATACTGTAAGATTTGGGTACTTCTCTTACTTTCTTTTTATGCTTTTACTTGTTTAAAACTATGTAAAGTTGTATACATTAGTAGTTGATAGCATGAGAAATTAAAAAATACTGGTACCTGAATTTCATTTCTAGATTTATCTAGGGTTTGGGCAAAGGCATCAGAGTTTTGCAAGTGCTTCAGATGACTAATGTTCACCTGTATAAAATTATAAAATAAATATACTCTTTGAATTCCTTTTTAGGCATAAAGATGTCCTCATCAACCAAGGTAAATTAAATATCTTTTTACAATATTTTGCTTTTGTACATCAGTTTAATTTTTTTCAAACGGATAAGAATGTCAACTTACTTTCAATCAGTATATTTTATTAGCCCATAGGAATAAAAGAGACGTGTTTCTGTAGTTACTTAAGGAAATGCTCAATTTTTTGGTAAGATATGTCATTTTTGTCTCAACCAGCAAAAATGTCAACCCGTGAAAAAAACAGCCAAGGTAAGAATAAGCTACACAGTTGGTTGCCTTCTAAATTAATTTTTCTTGGATCTCTTATCTGGCTTTTCATTACTTTTACTATCTGACTCTTCTCTTAAAAATAAAAAATATCATGGTGATTGGAACCTAGTGAGCCCAAGTGCTTTTTAAAGAAATCTATCTTATTTCTGTCAGCTGTGAAGATTTAAGGTGATCAGTAAATACAGCTTTACGCAGGATAAAATGTTTTCTCCCTTTTAAAAAAAAGTTATACTTAGAAAAGCCATTTAAAAGATTGATAAATTTTAATTTAATTTCCTGTCTTGTCAACTGCATTGCAAATAATCACTCATATCTTGATGCAAGATTCAAAATATGATAAGTCTAGCAAACCATTTCCTCTTAGATTTTTCTTTTATATTAATTATAATCTCTAGCCACTTGCTGTTGTTGGCTTGTTCTGACCAAAAAAGGAAAGCAGATTTTGTAAACGTATATTTAATTTAATTGCAAAGTAGGTATATTTCATAATCAGTTTTACATTCCTCTTAGATTGCCTGCAAGTTTAATTGAAGCATGCTGTTCCAAGTGGAAGCATGTCTTTTTTGTGCATGCTTTTGACAGCTCATTTTTATGTCATAATTATCTTCATTTTCTGGGCTGTTAGCCAACTAAATAGTGGTTAAAATATTTGTTAGACATTGAACTTCATTTCTGAGGATTTTTACTTCCTTCAGTTCCAGTAAGAATAGCATTTATTTTTTGTTGTCTTTGGATCATTTGTACACAGAAATTGTAAAAGAGGTTCAATTTTGGTGGCATTCTTCTCCACTAGGCCTTAACTTTCTCCCTGTATTAATGATAACTATTAAACTAATTGTATTAGATTAAGTAATAATTTTAGCTACTTCAATGAAAATGAAATTTTACCTACAGAGACAATCTTATTACATTACACATTAAAATTTTTTCTTTATATGGTGATATAGATCAAAGTGCTGTGTTCTGGAAAGTGCATTTGAGTAGAGTCGCTGCGGTTAATATTTGGCGCTGGCTCTTCTGTATAATGCTAGGCTTAATGACAATGTCTCTGAGTTTTTCAATCTGAAAATAATAACTGTAAAACCTACTTCATATGACTGCTGAGTGATGAAAATACTTTAAAAATAGAAAACACAGAAACTATCAGTATGCACTGCTGTTACATGTTTTTCTAAAGAGCTCAAATTTCATAAGCTCAGTATCAGTGAAAAAGTACTGTTTGCCTTTTGCTTGTGTTTCATGTGTTCTTTGAAAGGAAAAAGGAAATTAAGATTGATATATGAGAGTGGTTTATGTTAATGACACAATTTTCAAAATCAGTTAAGCAAGTAAGATATTTGAAAGGGGGAGGATTTTGCTGAGGAGGAATCACTGAACAATGAGTAGCCAGTGCCTGGCAGGAAGGATTGAATGAAAAATTGGGGAAGAATACTGAAAAATAAACTTGATTGTGTTACAATAGTTCTACCTTAAAAATTCAGATTGCAGTTGTTGAAAATTGATGTCAGACATTGCTTCCTTTGAAATGTGAGTCTTTTCTTTTGCTGGTATAATTACTGTGTTGTTTGGAAAATAGACTCGTATCATTGGTGTGTGCCCACAGGGCTCTTTTTTTTCAATATATTATATAACTCAGGCCTGACAGTGATTGAGGCAGAGACTATCGATAGAAATAGATGGATCCTGGATAGTACCAGGTAGGATATAGAAAGTAAAGAGTAAAGGAAATCTATGAAGATTGAAGAACTAAGTAAGCATCATCTGCTGAAATAAAAATTTGTGGAGTAGATTTGTGGAAAAGAGTAGCAATGTGGTTATGCAAAATTGCACTTCGAGTTGGCTTTGAGATTTAACCTACATATAGAGATGTATAACAAGCAAAAAATAAGATGTTTAAATACATGAATTTTGGAGTCCAGAGACTGATACCATCATTGAATTAGCTATGGTGTCCTTGGACAGGTCATTTTGCCTCCCTAAATTTTTGTTTTCTTGTCTACGATTGAGATAATAAGCCTTCAAAGAGTTTTTGTAGAAATTATGCAGTAATAAAGTATTTTAACACAGTGCCTGGCACATAGAACAAAATAAATTGTAGTTAAAAATGAGTCTGCCAGTAAAAACTTTGTACTCAAGTAGAGTAAGATGAAAAGACAACCATTAAATAGAAGATTTTTATTTGTTAGAAGTTGTAGATCTATTTTTAGAATTTGGTATTCAATATGTGTGGTACCTTTACAGCACATTTTCTTATAATTTTAGTTATTAATGCTTATACCTATCTTTTTGTAAAATCTTTTAAATATATGATTTATTAATTTCTCTAGCTATTTTTGACAATAACAACCGTGATTTGTTCCAAGCCACCTGCTTTGATTTGGGAAGAAGCCTATTTACATTTGGTACATTTCGGTGAGTGGTAGCAGAGAAACTGCCTAAAAGGCCTGTGTCCTTCCGGCACCACAGTGGTCAGCACTTGGGCAGAAGGCAGACAGGAATAGCGGAAAGCAGTACAAGTGAAATGGGATAAGCAGGGCAGTACTGAGGCTAGGTGTGAGGGGAAGGACAGACGTAAGCCACTAAAATGATGCGGCTCATACTAACCTGCATCTTCACCTGTGCCCTGAATCCTGAACCCTTTTTTTTATTACTCTTTTCCTTAGTCTTGGTTCTGTTCTAGCCACAATAGAAGTAAAATCCTCACACAAGTTAGAAATTGGACTGAGTTCTAATTAACATCACTGCGTGACTCCTTATCCAGTAGTTCTAACATTGACCAGCATTTTCTCAACTCAACTCTCCCTGCCTGTTAACCACTCCAGCCTCTACTGTACTTTGGGGGGCAGGGGTGTCTTTTTGAGACAGAGTCTCGCTATGGGATTACAGGCACACGCCACCATGCCCAGCTTTCCTACTCTACTTCTAAGAGATCAACTGTTCTAGCTTCCCGGTATGAGTGAGATGATGCAGTAACTGCCTCTGTGCCTGGCATATTTCACTTAAATATGATGTTCTCCAGGTTCACGCACACTGTTGAAAATGACAGATCTTTTTTATGGCTTTACTATTCTCCTGAGTATGAGAAAGAGAAAAAGAGCAGAATTGAGCCAGGTGTGGTGGTGCACACTATCCCAGCACTTCAAAAGCTGAGGCAGGAAGATCGTCATGAGTTTGAGGCCAGGCTGGGCTACATATTGAGTCCAGGCCAGCCTAAGCTGTATAACGAGACAGCCTAAGCTGTCTCAAAAAAAGAAAAGAAAGAATAGTATTACCTGTTTACACTAGTCTGGTTGCATATCTTGGCTGTTACAAATATTGCCACAATAAATTTATGAGTGCAGATACCTTTTCAACACACTGATTTAATTCCCTTTAATATATACTCAGTAGTGGGAGTACTAGATCTCAAAGTGCCATTTGTAAGTTTAGTCATATTGAGAACCTGAATGACCAAGGGCCCTATTGGAAAGAAATATGCTTAAAGGGAACTCATCTCAACAAAATTCCACTCTTCCTGTTATAGTGCTTTCTCTCTGCTCTGCCAGATCGATGCACTAATACTGCAACTGTACAGATATATTAAGATGGAAAACCAGTTATGATATCTTGGGAAATTGAGAACTAGCTGACTATTTTTTTAAGAGAATAAAGCCAATCAAAATAAAACCGTGAAAGTGATAATAGGACTTCAAAACAAGATAATAGGAAATCAACAATAGCTGCCATAATGCTTCTTATTACCTTCAAAATAACTGCCCATACCATCAAACCTAATAAAATCAAATAGAACAATATAATCAAAACAAAATAATGAAAGTGATACAGGACTTTAAAACAAAGTAATAGGAAATTAACAGTGGCTACCATCTTCCCTTGTTAGATGTTTCCTCCCCTTTCATTTTCATAATACCTATTGTACAGTTTGGATCCCACTAAGACAACATGATGTTCACCTACATGAGTCCAAACCACTTTACCCAAGAGCATGATCACAAGTTGCATCCATTTACATACAAGAGCCTCATCATTATCCTTTATAGCTGAGTAGCTTTCCATTGTATAAACATGTCTTACCTTTCTTAGCTGTTCTGTGGTTGGTGGGCAAGTTACCCTTGCTTTTTTCTGGTTCCCTGTCACATGGAACATTGTTTTCTCTCTTTTAACTTTCAACCTATGAATATACTGTCAAGTAAATATGTTTCTTGTAGACCACAAATTGATGGATCTTGTTTCTAGATCCACTCTGCCCATATTTCTGTTTATTGTTGAATCATCTACATTAATGGTCACAGCCAACATACAGTACTTTGTCTTTGCCACGCTTTTTTCCTGCTGTTGGCTCCCTACTGTCCCCCTCCATTCAGTTGTCTTGCCCGGCTCTGATTCTGATTCCACTCTGCTGCTGTTCCTGGGACTGTGAGGCAGGCGCTTACACTACTGAGCTAAATCCCCAGCCTCTCCTTCAGTACTATTTGTAGGGTTGGTTTGGTGGTTATGAATTCCTTCAGTTATTCTTTGTCATGGAAGTATCCTATTTCTCCATCAATTTTGAAAGATAGTTTTGTAGAATACATCAGTCTGGATTGGAAGTTGATTTCTTTTAGGATTTGAAATACTTCACTCCAAGCTCTTCTTAACTTGATGGTTTGTGTTGAGAAGTCTGTCATGATTCCTTTATAGATGATCTGTTTCTTTTCTCTAACAGTCTTGAATATTCTGTTCTTGTGCTGAATTTCTGGCATCTTGATTATTATATGTCTAGGTATAGGTTTATTTTGGTTATGGCTAGTTGAAATTCTATATGCCTCACATCTATATGTCAGGTCCTTTTCTTATACTTGGGAAGTTCTCAGCAGTTACTTCTGCAAATAGTCTCTTTATGTCATTTGTGTTGACTCCTTTTTGCTGACATATATCATTCTTAAATTATTTTTCTTTGCCTCATCTTGCAGCCGTTGAGTTGTTATTTCCTTGTTCCT